ATTTTATATTTCTTCTTTCAAATTGCTCTTAACATGTCCACTTCAATATACAGAATTAAATACAAAATCTAGTCATAAGGAATTATTACATGATTACTCCACCAGTCACTAGAACAGCACACACACTCAGAAATGGAATATTATTTGCAGAAAATTAATTCCTTATCAAAAAATCTTTTTAGACCAATGAGGTGAAATAGGATGATTTTCTACGGCACACCTGACCATGAAAACACACAAAAAAAACGTTCAGGAGTGAAGTCAGCAGGATGTTTATGTCACGTTTGATGTGGACTCAGTTTTGAGCCACTAAATAACCACTGACAACCCAAAAAACACAAAAAGAGTTTAAAAACCCCACAAAAATACAAATATATGACAAAATCACCTCAAAACGACACCATGAAAACACACAAAAAAAATGTAAAAATTCAGATGTATCAGAAAATAACCTCAAACAAAGAAAAGCACCACAAAATGTACAAAAAAACTTAGAAAACACACAAATAGAACACAATATCATGTCAAAAGTCAAATCAATAACCAACAAAAAAATAAAAGAGCAAAAGGACACCATAAAAGCATAAATGTAACACAAAATAATATTAAAAGTAACATCAATAATAACCCAAAATAAAAAATATCACATGAAAAAGAGTAAAGAACACCACAAAAGCATAAATATAACACAAAATCACCTCAAAAAGAAAGAAAGACACCACAAACACATACAAATAGTAAAAAAGACACAAATAAAACACAAAATAATATTGAAAATAAAGTCAACCACCAAAAAGCATTAAAAAAAACAGTAAAAGACACCACAAAAACTCAAAAATAGTAAAAAAAATACACAAATAGAAACCAAAATAATATTGAAAATAAAGTCAACCACCAAAAAGCATTAAAAAAAACAGTAAAAGACACCACAAAAGCATAAATATGACACAAATTCAGTTCAAAAGCAAAGACAAAAGACAGTAAGAAACAAATATAAAATAAAATAAAGCCCTAAAACGAGCAGGAACCAACAGAACCACACAAAGAAAACAGGAACCACAAAAACAAACCCACAAACAACATTACAGAAACAGAAACGTCCCAAAAGTCAAAGTGACTGACGTCCATCTTGGTCCTTTTTTTTTCTTTTAATTTAAATTTTTTTTTATTTGACACATGTACTGACATTGTTATTATCATCTTTTTTTTTGTTTTGCAATAAAAACAACACAATGAGCCCTGTGGTCACACTAAAAGGTTGCATTGTGCCCCTGTATGCATTTTTAACAGTTTAATTCTGTAAAGACAAAATATGTCCAGCTCTGATTTACATATTTTGCTAAATTGCAGGTTTGAGTATTGTAATACTTTCCTAAAATAAAATAGACCTGCAGAAAGAAATGACTAATTAAATATTTTACATATAAATAGTTCTATGTTCTATGTAGAGATTTTCCTTAGCTCTGATTGTATGTCTCACAATTTTGTCACAAATTTATCATTGTTCATTAAATTCTGAAAGCTATGTGACTTTGTTAATATTCTGTCCTAAAATGTGATTACCGGTAGATTTTGGCCCCGCCCCCTGATCTAGCCCCCCTAACCCTAACCCTAACCCTAACCCGCTGGGCTTTTGTCTAAAGTGTCACAACCCATGAAGGTGAGCAGGAAGTGGAGGACCCCCCCAGGTCTGAGATATCTGAGTTATTTAGAGTTATTTAGAGTTATTTAGAGTTATTTAGGGTTCCTTTAGTCGGTTGTCTGACTCCCAAATGGATTTCTGCACATTATTTCAGCTTTTTCTGAAAAAAAATGAACAAGGTTTGCTATTTTAGTGTAAAATGAGCTCATATTTTAGAGGGTTTATTCATAAAAGTGATCAAAGAGACACTTGAATGAATTTTAAATCAAATTTGACTTATTTTGAATTATTTGAGTAATAAATCTGATTCCCAAAGGAAATGATGTAGATTATTTAAGCTTTTAATGGAAAAACTGACATCCTTCCATCATTTTAGTGTAAAATTAGCTCATATTTTTAGAGAAATTATTCATAAAACGATCAAAAAGAAACTTTAATGTGTTTTAAATCCTCACATTGTCCTCTGAGGTCTGTTTTAATGCTTATAAAGCAAAAGGTTAATAATGAACCTGTTGTGGAATTCTTTATATGAGAGTCTGAGGAAGTTAGGAATGG